ATATATATATAAATCGTAAATTAAATGAAAGGTAGCAGAAGAAGAAAAAGTCTTATCTACCCCTTTTTCTCAAATAAATTCAATGAAAAATAATCTTCACATTTCAAAATAGAAAAATAAAGGTTTAACTCCTTGAGCAACAATTCATACATTATAAACTGTATTTACATATTTCTCCAACAACTTCAACTTTTATCATTCTCTTAAATATACACATTGATCTGACATTTTTCACATCCTCCAATTAATCYAATTAATTAATTTGTACATAAAAGGTTTCTGCGCTGCTAGATAGATGTTACCCCCTCTATCAAACTAGAATGAACCAGTCTGAAGGCTGGAGGAGATCGGGCTGTGAAGCACCTCATTTGGATTTAAAGAGACAGCCTCAAAGCGAGTTGATCTGAGACACACCTTAGAACAGGGGTGAAAGATGGGCTTGTAAAGTTAAAATAAGGAGGAATTCAGACCAAAKCATTGCAGTTCCRCTTTATATAGACCCCAATTGAGTGATTAAAATGTTAAAAAGGTTTTAAAAGTGCAATATGTCTCTTTTTAAAGTGCTCAAAGCCTAATACATTTTTAACTTCTTACCTTTTCAGAAAGGCAGAAAATACTGGCTTCTTAAAAAATATACTCATTATGTTCACATACATAAATAAAACAAAAATAAATAATATTAAAATCAAATTAAATTTATTTGCTCCTATACCAGAGATGGGTCATTGCCAAACACATTTAAAACACCTTCTGTTAGAATTCAGCAGCACTGCAGCATCATTTCAGCCTGTATTAGTTTTACCTTCAGCCAACAAAACACCATTGAAAGCAGCTCCACTGCACTCCCTGCAGCCAGCAAGCTGTAGACCAGTTGAAGCTCCTTTAACTGCCGTTTTTTTTTTTTATTGAATCCATAAGGTTCACATGGCCTCGGGGGGTATTCTTTAGTGCTGCTCGGCCCTCACATCCTCCTCCTTTTTGCAGTTGTARTTTCATGTTCTTTTTCCCTTCTGAGATTGCAGGTTTAGTTCCCCGACGGTTAACAATGCACACTAAAGTTTCCAGAAAAGTCACCTGACCGAGCCAGAAATGGGTTAATAAGGATATGGTGCAAAGGCAGTAATGTTGCTGCAACATTCCCAACGTGTGAACGTTTGCTGTGCAAGCTACCCTTTCAGCAGGGACAGCTTTTTTTTTTCTCCCCCTCTCCAAGTTCCTGCAATGGGCTTGTTCGCAGTGATGGCTCAGCTTTCTATTCAGAAACTGCACCACACTTCTAGGTGCACTGCAGATTCCCAGCCAGCAAACCAGCCAGCCAGACAATTTCATTACTTTGAGATTTTTACACATCGCCTTGATCACGATACTCATCTTACCTCCACATCTCCACAGCTGATGCGTTTGATATTGAAAATGACAATCACATGCAGCATCTTTTTTTTTTTTGTAGGCTGCCATTTTAATTTTTTTATGCTCCCTCTGTGATACTTTACTGGTCAGAAGGACAGAAGGTGTTGTCATGGTACATAAAGCCAGAAAGGTTGTTCATTTTAATCTGCTAAACAAACAAACTAAAATCTTTCTTTTTATTACATTCTCTGCGTTTCTGTCATTTCAGCTTAAACACACACATTATGTTTTGTTGTAAAAATAAACATGCTCAAATTTGCCTTTTTGTTTYTTTTTTTCCTACCCAGGGCAACGCCAGCTTAGACATTCAGAATGTCAACCAGCAGACGGCATTACACCTTGCAGTGGAGCGCCAGCACACTCAGATAGTTCGGGTTGGTGTCTGTGCTTCAGTTCTTCTTTCTTTGTCATTTCTTTTCCCTTCCTCACTTGGACTACTAAATGAACACGCTGCCTTCACTTAGCTGCCAGTTCCTCTCCTTTTACACAAAAGGCGGCAGRACGACATCAGTGCAGCTTTAATTCACACGGTTGGACATTCTGCAGTTGAATGAGGTCCTGCCTTTCAAGGGAGGGGAAATGCTTTATAAGGGAATGTGTTGGTTGGACTTTTTTTAGTGTAGCGCTGGATTGAGGTTGCCACGTTGCCATCTTGTGGGCTCAAAACAAAAGTACACACTATAATTGGGCGTTGCACAATGCACTAAAAGTTCATTCTAAGCAGCAGCTATATAAATCAATGCTGTGGAACTTGGAAGGCATAAAATTAAAGGTGTTTTTTTTTTTTTAGTTCTTGCAAGAGTTCCTGCTTGATTTCCTGTTTGTGCGACTCTTTGTTTATGCCCTTCTGTTAACAGCTGCTGGTGCGGGCCGAGGCCAAGCTGGATGTGCAGGATAAGGACGGGGACACACCTCTTCACGAGGCACTGCGCCACCACACGCTGTCCCAGTTGCGACAGCTCCAAGATATGCAGGATGTCAGCAAAGTGGAGCCCTGGGAACCCTCCAAGAACACGGTACATATACATCCATTATTAACGCAACTATTTTTACACGTGCCAAGGATTCATCAGGTATCAAAGGAACAAGGTTTTATTACTGGGCGAAATTCACTTTAATGAACTGATAATGTACTATAGTTGTAGATTAAATAAGAATAGGAATAAATGCCCAAAGATTCCACTTAGATTGGGCTCGGCTTGAACACTTCTGAGTCAATTGGCAAAATCCAATATTCTGTTGCAATTAAACATATTTGGTTATAAATAGAATACCAACTAAAACATTAAAATCTTTACACTAGCTGCCATGTGTGTGTCTATATTCTGCTACACACTTTTTCCTATTACGGGGTTCACTGAAACATCCTGACATGGCGTTTATCATCTAGGAAGACAGTTCAGAGTTGTTCTGTCACAGTGCTCCTCAGGACTTATGCATAAACCTTTATCAATAGCAGTGTGTGGCCCAGTGTGTGAGATGACAGATCGTGTGTAGTCAGGAAGCTCACAGGCTCCCATCACCTGCATCACTGGACAGCCCATCATTCACACCGAGGCTGGGAGCAGTGAGCCACAGCCTGAACGGGTTCCTTTTTGTAGAGACCAAAAAAAGGGGGGGGGCATCTCCGACTTGAGCCCCCTTCGTGTTAACAYCACATCATTAATCGCTTCTGGGAGGACTTTAAAACCTTCCATCATCGACAGACTTTTCTGTACCTGTCACCTGCTGCCTCCCACTCTCGTTTCTGCCTCCTCCTCATTTGAGCCTCTCAATCTGCCCTCTCTGGTTCTCCCTCAGAGGAGCAGAACCGACAGACACCGGGCCTAATTTAAGAAATGTGCAGTTGGGTCAAACTCCCATGGCCCTCTCTTCCCTACAAGATGAGAATTGAATTAGTTGGCTCGATGGTTCCATCAGAGGAGATGAAAAAGCTACTGGTTGAAGCGAATCAGACATGGAAATTGCATGAGAGAAAGTAGGTTTGAGTTACAGTTGACTGAGTGAAGTAGTTACGAGAACAAGAAAGACAAAATGGGGTGAGAGAGCTATATTGCCTGACATGCATCTAAAGGCATGTCTGATTGGCTAATTTGTACTGAATAGATCTGTACTCACACCCAGTTTAAACTCTAATAAAACCAAGACGTTATGCTTTTTTATTTTTATTTGCTTTAATRTTAGTTGAAGCGTGGATGTGCAAAGAGAGACATGCAGCTGTATTTACTGGCCTCTGTTGTGAAATGTCAAAAACCCCTTTATGTGTCTCTGACTTGTTCTGTTTTCATTTGTCTGTCTGCCTCTCTGTAGTTAATCATGGGTTTGGGCACCCAGGGGGCCGAAAAGAAGAGTGCAGCATCCATCGCCTGCTTCCTGGCAGCCAACGGAGCAGACTTGACCATTCGCAATAAAAAGGGCCAGTCCCCACTGGACCTGTGTCCAGACCCCAGCCTCTGTAAGGCTTTGGCCAAATGTCACAAAGAGAAGAGCAGGTAAACATCCCAGGAATTGTGTGACATTTTGGGAAACACACTTWCYGGCTTTCTTGCTGAGAACTTGGCGAGAAGATCAATATCACTCTGTTCTGTACAGTAAATGTGAAGCTGGACCCGGGAGAGGGTGGGCTGAGCTCAAAATAAAGATAAAAAAAATGGGGGGAGGGAACAGAAAACTCCAAGGGCTCAAAAACCATAAAAAATATCTGCCTGCTCCTTTAAACCCCTTACATATAAACAAATAAACACCCTTAAACATATTTCATGGTGTATCAGCATTGTTTACAGTACCTGGTGAAAGAAAAGCCTGTGCTTCTGTTTCTGTAGTTTTAAAATGATGTGTTGTTGTGTAAATGAATAGCATCACACAAATGAGCTGTAWACATCAAAACTTTAAGCTCCTTCCAGACATTTCAGCTATGTCTTTTGGTATTGAGATATTTGGTCCTTTCAGCCATTTTTTTTCTCTAATTGAAAATGAACGGAGCTCCATTCAACATTCATAAATCCTTTTAAAATGTTTATCAACTTTTCCTGCACTTTGTACTTTTTTTTCTGGTTCTGCTTTTTTTTTTTAACTTTCTGTTTATTTTAATCTTTTTGTTCTTTTCTCAGCATTTTTCTGATAATTTAACCTTTTTATACTTTTAGCTGTTTTCTGCAATTTAAGCTACTTTTTAGGAGGAATGGGTACCAAATTCGATACTTTTATAAGTACCGACCGAATTCTGTCAGTACTAACGAGTATCTGTTCACGTAACATCAAATGGTACCATGTTTCGGTACCTGAAGGCATCATTGCGACCGTATTGGTGTAAGAGTGGTGAGTTTTCCATGCTTGTCCTGTACGCAGCATCGCACATGAATGTAATGACGTCAGCAGCCGCTGGTTCAGTAGAGTTCAGTCAGAACGTAGCATGAAAGCCTCGCAGCTCCTAAACTCACCRAACAGACCGCCTCTGAATTATCTGGTGGATTAATTATTTTGTGAGCATGACGGTCGCTTGCTCAAAGTAAATACAGTACCTCCACTTTCTTTATTTCATCCGCCATTAAACAGAGACCGGCAGAGGAAAACAACAGGCGCTTCCCGACAGTCCGAACAYATCTGACCTGAAAGAACAAGCAGCCAGCTAAAGTGTTGGAAGTGTTTTGGATGCTCAAAATGTAGCTTGAATACCTTTTATTTATTTTAACTCCATCCTCTTTTGCGTATTTGATTTAAACWTATTTGYCTTCCATGGACCTCCATCACACAAGTTTTCTAGCGGGGAAATGACATCAATAGAAATACATGGAGCTGGATTTTAATTTGTGCAATAAGACAAAAACAGTCTTGTTGTTTTCAAGAGTTTTCACCTTAAAGAAATAAGTTACACAACTGATGTAACAATACAAAGAGTTGGATGTTGTCTTGATATTTGTTAAATTTTATACATTGAGAAATATGTTTAAAAAAAGTTTATTATTAAAAAAAACAACACACACAAAGTACCGAAAATTGGTACCGATTCCCAGGTACCGGATATTGGTACCGAATCGATTCAAATGTCAAAGGTACCCATTCCTACTTTTTAGCTATTTCAGCTAATTATAACATTTTTCAGCTAAATTCATCTTTTTGTAATAATTTCAGCTTCTTGCTGCATAATTCAGCAAATGTGCTCCTGCTTCTTTGTGCTAGTTTTAACTTTTTCAATTATTTATTAAGCTACTTTTCTGCTAATTTCAGCATTTTTGCTGCTTTACAACAAATTGCAATATTTCTGTTTTTTCTGCAAATATCTTTAAGCATCAAGTACTCACACTGCATCTTAGAAAATGCAAATTCTCTAGTTTGATTTTTACATTTATTAACCCAAATAAAACTCATTTGACTCTGGGAAATGTGTAGAAACCCATTTCAAAAGTACAGTGTTTTCTTGTATTTCTTTATTTCATAACTCTTTACATCTCCTGATATAGATTCAAAAATAAACAATATAATTTTTTTCAGTATAGTCAGTCTCTCATCCTCTGGCTTAAATCTGTATGTTTCAGTGGTCAGGTGGGCACCCGCAGCCCCTCTCTGAACAGCAACATGGAGTCCCTGGAGGAGTGTATGGTGTGTTCAGACATGAAGAGAGACACTTTGTTTGGACCATGTGGACACATCGCTACCTGCTCGCTGTGCTCGCCACGTGTCAAGAAGTGTCTCATCTGCAAGGAGCAGGTCCAGTCCAGAACTAAGGTATCAGAAGCRCCRCCGCGACCCGCCGCTGCTTTGGATCAACAGAGTCGTGTTGTCTTACTGTGTCTCGTTGTCTGCGTTCAGATCGAGGAGTGTGTAGTCTGCTCTGACAAAAAAGCAGCCGTGTTGTTCCAGCCCTGTGGTCACATGTGCGCCTGTGAGAGTAAGTCACACACACAGACACACACACACACATACACACAGGTTCCAACTTGTTGATTTTGTCGCTTGCATGTCTGCATTTATCTTCATCGTGTTTAACCTTTTCTATAAACACTAAAAAGTAAGTTTCTTTGCTCCAACCTGAGTTTATCTGCTCCCTGCAGACTGTGCCAGCCTCATGAAGAAGTGCGTACAGTGCCGGGCTGTGGTGGAACGCCGCACCCCCTTTGTTCTCTGCTGTGGAGGGAAAGGTATGGAGGATGATGCCGCTGATGATGATGATGATGATGATGATGATGATGATGATGATGACCTTAGTGAGTGAATCTTCCACCCGTTCCCTTTTAATCCACTCCCTTTTTCTTTTCTTTTTTCTACATCTTTCAGTTATGTTTTGCTTTGTTGATGCTTTGCCACATATTTTTACTTTACACTTCTTTTATTTTATCTTGTCTTTTTTTTATCCTAGCAGACACACTGTAAACTGTCAATTAATCAAACTCAGTTTCATTTTTCTAATTAACTGCGCTACCAACTCTTGCATGTTTTAATAATTACAACTATTCTGATTGTTTTGGGGGTTTTTATAAAATAACTAGAAGATTTTGGCTTCCTTGAAGCCTWTTTATCTAAAATCACAACATAGTTTCTCTGAATACACTAAATTTAAGCTTTAAATCTTTTTATGTGGGGTTCGTAGGTTTTTTTTTTAATTGAATGTGTTGAATAGGGCTGCAGGATGTTAGAAAATCTTGCTATGGCGATAATATTTGTAAATATTGCAATGACAAAATCAGGTGCAATATACTTTTTTGCTCCGTTTCTGCAACTTTAATGTATTGGAGTATACAGATAAGCATATGAAATTGTGTTTCATAATCTTCAACATTGAGCTTATGAAACATTAAATCAATTAGTTTAAAATGAATAGCTTTATTCATTCACAAAAAACTTAAATAATGAAATATTAATGATTGAATRTTACTGCAGACATGCTTCCAAGCTGCAGAAGTGCTTAAGTTCTGATTATTTGTTACTTTTCCACATCAGCACTGAAATAATGGTGCGTTTAGTCTTAAATGTGTTTATTTTAGGTCACATTCACAGTCAGTCATCTTGTCTTTATTTGATCTCTGAGTGTCTCTTAGTCTTTTATCAGCACTTTCTTTTAACTCAAGCCACGATTTTCACATTTTATGTTTATTTAAAAGGGAAACTGTTGCAAGTTCACAATTTCCATCTTCACTGCTGTTAGAAGATTTCTCTACATGKCAGCAGGTGTAATTTGCCCTTTTTATGGGGTGCACAAAAGAGCAAATGGATCCAAACACACATACACTCATGCAAGGGGCAGCATTGGATGCTTCCATCACAAATCCCTTTGTCCCAGGATTACTGACTGTCGCTGTCAGTTTTAGAGACAAATATACTGTCACCAAATTATTTATTTCAGCTTCTTTAGTTTACTTTTATGGTGTTTGTCTATCTCAACAAACAAATAACTCGTAGCTTTGGCTGATGGCAAAAATTGATCTAAARGTTTCTGCATGGAAGTAACTGTTTCCTTTTCTGTCCATGATAGCTGCTTCCAACTTGTTAGCTTTCTCTTCAGATTCTCTGTGTGAGCCTCCTCTAGAGGCCACATTGGGTAGTTTTCAGGCCAGCTCTTGAGCTGGTAAAGATCAGCTCCTGCTATAACAATGTGACTGGTTATTCCCAGCAGGGAGCTCTAACTCTATGGCAGGGGGATCGCAGGATCTTCTCCAGCCCAACAATCTGGCACTAAGTTGGTGTAAGTATACTTCCATCATCCCCTCCCTTATCAG